CCACCAAAGACGCTTAGTTGTTACTTCGCTATTTCATAGCTTCTCAAAAAAAACAACGGGTTGCAATGCTACGCAAGGCGTAGCGCGAACCTGGACCCGACCATGGAAACCCTGTCGATCCCATGAACTGTAGTTCAGTGGAGATGCAGACAGGATGTTACATATATTATGACTGTAACCACTGTAACCATTTGAAAGGTTACATTCATTTACATTCTATGATGTTACATTCTATGTTCTATGTCCATTGGATCTTACATTCTACACTTTGCACCTTTGATCTTCGACTCGTCAACTTGACCAGCCGTGACTCCTCTGTCTACGACGGACACATCTGAGGGCAACGAAGGGTAACTCTGGTTCCAGCGTGTTCAGATTCGACCTAAAGTCCTGTAACTTCAGAGCACTTCACGCCTGTGGGGCCGGCCAGGAGTAGCCCCCTCGCACACAAAAGCTGAAGTTGGGCTTCCGAGGGCACAAGATATGAGACTCCGTCGTCTTTTTCTTGGCAGGTGGATTCGTCTCCCCAACTCTTCTTGGCAAAAAAAAAAGAACCTCAGTTGTTTCATGGTTGTCTGAGGTGTGGATTGTTGACCCGATTCTTGTAACCAGGGTCTTTTGATGTTTTCTTGTCGGGTGGAACTGGCCCGGATGGAAGGCGGTTGCTCTTCTCGGGCAGCTGATCCAAATGGATCGCAAAGTCAGAATGACATCATGAAGGCCCGCAGATTTGCAGAGGTGTTGCAGAAGAATTTGACCGTGCTTAAACCCTCCAAAGGGCTCCCACTTTAAGAAATACATGAATGATAAGAAAATAAAAGTTGAACACCTGAGATGGAAGAAGGCTCAGAAGGGGTGATCATCAGAAGGATGCTTCAAGAAATATGGAAAGTATATAATAGATCTTGCACCTCTGCCTCAACAAAATACATGATCTTCGACTGCGACATCAACTCTCGCCGACGTGAAACCTGCCTGTCAGGGAGCTGGACCTGAAGACGTCGACTGGCAAAAAAATGTCACTGCTGAAAGAATTCCACAGGGACCATGGAGCAAGACGGGGAGGAATCCAACAAGTCTTTGATTTCATGCATGTCTTAGTGAGTTGGTAGTTTCAGCCATCCCTAACAAAACGTGCATTGATCAATATCGGATATGTATATACAACACATATACGCATGACGTGTGTTAAACAATGACATGTTTAGTGTGTTTTGATTCAAAGTTAGGACATCCCAGATCGTCTTCCACAGAAACCTCGGAAAAATATAACAGTCTTGGATGAAACACCCTTCTATCAGGTTAATGACAGTGAATAAACATATAACTGAAAAGGATTCATATATATATATATATGTATGTAAGTAATCAAATGTATGCAACATGTAAATATGATACATCAACATATTTGATGTGTGTTTTTAATCATGTAAATTCAGATAATTTGGATTCATTCCTATTAGGATCAGCTGCAGTCAACTTTCACACGGACCACAAGCATGAAAGGAAACCAAATCGCCCCCGAACTATATGGAGTGTCAAATACAAAGAAACCAAAGAAACAAACTTGTGCACTCTCCGTGTGACGTGTCGAAAGAAAATCAAACCTGCATTCAACCTACCGCTGGCGGTAGAATGTTCGCTTGTGCATCCCTCCAAGACCAAAGAAATTCCAAGTCTAATTCTTGTTTCTAATAGCCTTTTGTTACTACTAGTAAGGCACTTGTTACTAGTAGCGTGGCACCTGTTACTAGTAGTGGTTGTTTCCGTGGTCTTTTCTCCGTCTTTTCCCCGCTTGGGCTGCAGCGAAGCTGAAGATGCACCCAACCTTGCTTGGGCGGCAGCGGAACCAGTTCACATTTCGACCCGTACCCATCCGTGTCCAGCAAGTTTCAAGGGATGACATGCCAACCGCTGCGAACATGCGAACCGTTAGGGAAGCATCTTTGGGGCTTCAAAGAGAACATGCCCGCATATGTAAGCACGTCTGGATGCGCCCGAGAAGGATGTCCACCATACCTGGTGCTGAAGTACTATCTATCTCTTTGGGGGTCCTTTTGCAGGTGACCACTAGTGATCAAATGGAAAAGAGAAAAGACTGACTGACCTTCATATCTGGGAACTTGGTAGATTTGCGTGTCAAGTCAAACGCGTTGGAAGGACGTCCCAGCGTCCCTGGCTTTGGCAACACCTGAGAACCTCCTTGCAACTTATAACATCTTATAACCGAATGAGACCCAGCACGCTCTCTTGACATCTCTTGACCCAGCCAGCTCAGATCCTTCTCTGGGTCTCCCGGCGAAGCCAGCGGGCTCTCCAGGTGACCGGAGACCTCCTCCGGCTCGCTGTAGACCTTGATGTTCAAAGTCTCCCCTGCGCCTGGCAAGGACGAAGAAGGCTGAAGGGATAAAGGACGGGTGGAGGAGCTGCGATTGGCCTTCCCAAACAAAGACACCAAGTGGCTGCATGGTGTTTTCCATGGTCAAGTGGTAGATACCCAGTGAGTCCAGCGTGTGTCGGGCAGGGGGACAGGCGGGCTGGCATGGGCTGGCGAGTGTTCACGAAAACAACAATCTCTAGATCAATGTACCTGGTTTGATGAGGAGTCAGGGGTCAAAGTGTCCATGCCACCACCAGCAAGGATGTGGCACGAAGAGTGTTCAATCTGCGCCATGCTGAATACTGTAACCAGTTTGCAAGGTGCCTGTGATTTGTCATTATTTGGTCATTGATCTGCTCAATTTGCGCGGAAACAACCTAGAAACAACTAGCAAATGTGGACGGCAACACAAGGGCGGATGCACCAAAATCCAAATGATATCTGATGAACGGCGCTGACTTTGTTGCTCACAGCCGACAAAATGACCCGCAAAATGAGAATTTAGTCTTGACCGATCTGGCCACTTTAGATCCAAAACAAAGAGCGCAGTCCACGCCAATACCCTTTATTGCACATCATGTGGATCATTGGATCCAAACGGTGACTTTGAGAAGATATGACTATTGGTGAGTCTATGTTCGTCTAGTACTCTGTTGATTTACAGTATCTTCCTGATTGACTTCTCACCAAGTCATCACGGCATCACGGATGTTGGGACCTCAGTCATCTCTCACTTCCGCACGCACGAAACTGAAGGCCTTCCAGTGTGCTAGATGCCTGAGAGACCTGCAGCCGGAACATGTGGCGAACCATGCAACAATATGCAACAATCATGTGAGCCGTTGGCACCACTAAATCACGAAAGCTTACACCCAAACATGATAGGATACACTGCACGACACGTTTCAAAAGCACACTATTTTATGTATATACACATCTTATTGTTAGACTATATATATATACTATAGTATATATATATATATATTCATGTGTAGATGCGAATGTGTTAGATATCATGAACCTCTCCGGGGACAACACATTATATTACTCATTTTACTGTAAGCCACGTGAAGATTCTCACGCCTCGGGTCGGGCAGGGTCACGTGCTTGAAGCAGCTCCGTCTGCCAGGAAAACCCGGAGCAAAGGTGGAGCTGTTATTGGAGGGAAAGGAGAAACCTACAACTTCTTAAGTCCAAGGCTACAAACCTGCAACTTCTTGAGTCGTTTCTAACCTTTTTGTCGGAACTTGGCCAATTTCTGGAAGCCATCCCATCTCCGCGTGCATCCGCGTGCCTCATTGCTACCTTCTGGCCTGGGCTCACACAGTCGGTGAAAAGCCGGGTCCAGGGGAGTGTCCTGTCCAACGCCAAGTGGGGAAACTGAATAAAGATGTTTGTCTAACACCAGGAAGGTGAGTGACTGAGTCTGACAGAGCTTACCCAAAGTAATTTGTTTGCCGGTTTGATTCCCCTCTCTCTGCCGGTGATGGAAAAGTTGTTGTTCGTTGGTTCCACCAATCACCAAGCCAGTAAGGAAATTTCACTCGAACGGTCAACTTGCTGCGAAAGCGACTCTCCTTGCATGGCACACCCATACTGTTCATGGATTAGAATCTCAATCAATCCTGCAGCACCTCAGATTCCTGGCCAAACCCCAATCTCAACGCTACCTTCGACCCTAGTTAGTACTAGTGCCCTATCCCAAACCATCCATGTATGGAACTTACATTAGGCCCATAAATGGGGTAAAATGTATGTATATAACTACTCCATACATGGATGGTCTGAGTAATTATGGATGCGCCGCACCGCGCCCTTGTTCAACGTCTTGCGCCCGGCGGCCCAGCCTGACACCTTCGCTCACGGCAGCGGTGTTTCCCATCGGTAACGAGTCATCTCGCCATCTCACGTGAAGAAACCGCTGCCTTCATTGAACGGTAGCGTGCTTGTAGTAGCAGCAAAAGTAGTAGCAGTAGTTGTTGTTGTTGTGGTAGTAGTAGTAGTTGTTGTTGTTGTTGTTAGTTGTTAGTTGTAGTTTTATGTTCTTGGGCCTTGTGAGTGTCTGAAACTGGAGGCCCATGTTGGTCACAAAACAGTTCTGATCGTTGACCGTGCTGAACCTTTTAAGCTCCATACGCACAACTTTTTCAAGCGTTGCATGTCCTTTCGTATCTTGTTTCCTTTCTGACGTGTTGAAGGCTCACCTTCATACCCTCGACATGATCTTTGTGTGCTTTGCCATCACTCACTCAGTGAGACTGGACGGAAAATAGCGCTTCGGTCTCTTTCTATCAGTACATCGTTTGGCAAGTCTTACCTACAAATCACCCATGCTCAGCACAACAAACGGCCTCAATGGGGAAAGCCCAACGTACTCATCCCAACAGCCGACCCGTAGCATCAAGAGCCATTGCACTTCCTTGCAGCCGGCGGAACCAGTGTCAAATCCAAGTGACTGTTTGATGGAACAAGAAACCAAGCTAGCAAAGGTTGCTAATCCCTTTAACCGATGCAAGTGGGTGTGGATATACTAAACATGTACAAGACATGCTCTGTTGCTGCCCTGAGTACCAAAGCAGTTCTTGCTTTTACGGGGTAATGTGATGTGTT